GTGGTCTAGAGGCATTCTCTCCTGACGTTTCGCCTGCATCTATGATCATGGCCATATAGCCCGAAAAAACCTACAACAACCCAGTGATTCCGGCCATGAAAGCCTTCAACAATACATTGAACATCTCTACGGGGAGAAACTGTTCCAAGCCTAGTTCCAACAGACCTTACTACCTCTGAGGATGCTTGCCATAGATGCAGGCGAAATGTCAGGAGAGAATGCTTCTAGACCATGGCCATATAGCCCGAAAAAAACTACAACAACCCAGTGATTCTGGCCATGAAAGCCTTCAACAATACAGAAGTGTCACTATCTCAGCCACTCATAATAAATAATATAATAATCACTTTTATTTTTATACCCCGCTTCCATTTCTTCAAAGGGTTCAGGGTGGCTTACAAAGGGACATGCCCAAACAGATACAGGTTAAAAACAAGCACAAAAATTAGTCAATATCAAATATTAATAAACATAGAACAGTTTTGAATTTTGGAGCAGATTTTGGCTTTCCAGATAAGGGGTCCCCAACAAATAGTAATACTAAGGTGAATCAAATAATTCTTTTCAGGTGCTAAATATATGTGTGTTCAAGGTTGGGGAAGTAGCATGGGTTTTTCTTGGTTGCCATCAACAGATTGGATGGAATATCTCTCAGGATTGTCAACAATTGTCCCTGGGTAGCTAAGGTCTTCCTGTGCAATAATAGGCAATTCCTGTCTGTAATTGATTAATTTATTTATGTATATCACCCCCTTTTCTCCTGATGTGGGACCCCAGACAGCTCACAACAAAGCTTAAACGAAATAAAACTAAAAGCCTCGTAATAAAGAATATTCAAACACAATTAGACAAGTTAATTGTGAGTGTAAATCAGTGTATAGTTTGGTGTAATTTTAACAATGTTAGTTGAACATCTGAAAGCATAATCCATTTTGCTTTCTATATTCCCATATACAAAGGGGGAAATAATTAATATGCATGTGTAAAGGTGAGCCCCCGGTGGCACAGTGGGTTAAGCCACTGAGCTGCTGAGCTTGTTGACCGAAAGGTAACACGTTTGAATCTGGGAGCGGCGTGAGCTTCCACTGTCAGCCCCAGCTTCTGCCAACCTAGCAGTTCAAAAACATGCAAATGTGAGTAGATCAATAGATATTATTATTAAACTTTATTTGTACCCCGCTAGCATCTCCCGAAGGACTCGATGTGGCTTACAAAGGCCAAGGCCTCAATACACAACATAACAATACACTTAAAGCAAATTAAAAACAATTAGAGCAGTATTAAACAACAAAGAACCACAAGCAATAAACAATACATCAAACAAGATAAAAAACTGATACCGCTCCGGCGGGAAGGTAAGGGTGCTCCATGCAGTCATGCCGGCCACATGACCTTGGAGGTGTCTACAGACAACGCTGGCTCTTCAGCTTAGAAATGGAGATGAGCACCACACCCCAGAGTCGGACACGACTGGACTTAATGTCAGGGACAACTTTTACCTTTTTTGCCTACAGGTGAGAGTGTCCTTTATTTAAAAATCTGAAATCCAAAATGCTCCAAAATCCAAAACTTTTTGCAGATAACGATCTGCCAGTGCCTTCTAGGCGGTGCATACGGCACCATTTATTTGCGAGGTGGAAGCAGACAACTGGCTGACTCCTTGGAGATCTCCTGTATAGTATGAATTCCCCTGCTGCCCCCCAAAAAATATCAGCTCCCTTATATGCCAAGTTCTCTCAGATCCTTTCTCTCTTCAGCCTCGCGTTTCATACATAACACATCACAAAGCTTTGTGAAAAGCAGGAGGTGTGGTTTCACACTAGGCACTATTCTCAGATTCCCACCATCTATATAAATAAAAATGTAGTGCTCATTTGTGGGATTAACATAACTCAAAAACCACTGGACGAATTGACACCAAATTTGGACACAAAACACCATCACTCATAAATACACTGCAGAAGAGACTTAAAAAACCAAAAACAAAAAATACATTACAACACATGTGAAAAACCACAAATATACACAAACACACATATACACAAATATATACACACACACAAAACACATGTACACAGGCTGGGCCACAGCAACGCGTGGCGGGGGAGGCTAGTTTCACATAAGTTCTAACATCTGAAAAAAACCTTACATCTGGTCCAACCATTTTGAATAAATGATACTCAACCCATATATAGTTACATTTTCCTGTTGCAAATCGCAGGGGGTTCTCTTCTCTGGGTATGTACAGTCCATTCTGCCTTCTAGCCTCTATTTTTCCTGGTAGCTCTGTCTTCTAGGGAATGTAAGCCTTGGTGGCTGGTTGCATAACTCCATTTTATGCCTGATAATCCAGTGGCTTTGTGAGTTTGTACTATATTTATTAAGTTGTTTATTAGAATCATAGAGTTGGAAGAGACCTCATGGGCCATCCAGTCCAACCCCCTACCAGGAAAATTGCATTCAAAGCACCTCCGACAGATGGCCATCCAGCCTCTGTTTAAAAGCTTCCAAAGAAAGAGCCTCTACCACATTCCAGGCAGAGAGTTCCACTGCTGAACAGCTCTCACGGTCAGGAAGTTCTTCCTAATGTTCAGATGGAATCTCCTTTCTTGTTCCGTGGCCTACTAATCTCCAAGGCAGCAGAAAACAAGCTTGCTCCCTCCTCCCCCTCACATATTTATACATGGCTATCATGTCTCCTCTCAGCCTTCTCCAACTATAATTTCTCTATTAAGTTATAGTTGGTTGTTCTATATTGTCTGATATGCCGTATCTTGGAAATTGCTGTATGGTTTTCCTTTTGACATTGAATGTTTACATATTTGTTGGAAACCTCCCCGATAGGATGGTCTATAAATAAAGTATTATTATTATTATTATTATTATTATTATTATTTATTTGAAACACCACAAGATGAGTCCACAGCAAACACTCTGCTGTGGATCACACGCTGGATACTTCCCAAGTGTCTAGGACTGTGTGATGTATCGGCGAATAATGCGTGCAGATCCCAGTAAGGTGGCCTTCTGTAGCTGGCAGGTGGTAATCTTGTCAGCACCGATGGTGTTTAAGTGAAGGCCAAGGTCTTTAGGCACTGCACCGAGTGTGCCGATCACCACTGGGACCACCTTTACTGGCTTGTGCCAGAGTCTTTGCAGTTTGATCTTTAAATCCTCATAACGTGTCATCTTTTCCGGTTGTTTCTCTTAAATCCTGCTGTCACCTGGGATTGCGACATCGACAATCCATACTTTGTTTTTTAACACGATTGTGAGGTCAGGAGTATTGTGCTCCAAAACTCTGTCTGTCTGAATCCGGAAGTCCCAGAGTATCTTGACGTGTTCATTCTCTGTAACTTTTTCCAGCTTGTGATCCCACCAGTTCTTTGTCGCAGGCCGATGGTATTTGCGGCACAAGTTCCAATGAATCATCTGAGCAACGGTGTTATGCCTCTGCTTGTAGTCTGTCTGCGCGATCTTCTTGCAGCAGCTGAGGATGTGATCTATTGTTTCATCTGCTTCCTTGCAGAGTCTACATTTGGGATCTGTTGTCGACTTTTCAATTCTTGCTTTCTTCTTCTTCTTCTTCTTCTTCTTCTTCTTCTATTATTATTATTATTATTATTATTATTATTATTAGTAATCTTGCTTTTGGGGAGAATGTTTTGAACACTAGCATGTTCCTTCCAGAAATAAATGGTTTCCACAAAAGAATATTTAATAACCATTCACCAATGTGAACAAAGCTATCTCTGGGTTTTTTGTAGGTTTTTTCGGGCTATATGGCCATGTTCTAGGGGCATTTTCTCCTGACATTTCACCTGCATCTATGGCAAGCATCCTCAGAGGTAGTGAGGTCTGTTGGAACTAGGAAAAAGGGTTTATATATCTGTGGAATGACCAGGGTGGGACAAAGGACTCTTGTCTGCTGGAGCTAGGTGTGAATGTATTGTGATGAAACATTCACACCTAGCTCCAGCAGACAAGAGTCCTTTGTCCCACCCTGGTCATTCCACAGATATATAAACCCTTTTTCCCAGTTCCAACAGACCTCACCTCTGAGGATGCTTGCCATAGATGCAGGCGAAACGTCAGGAGAAATGCCTCTAGAACATGGCCATATAGCCCGAAAAAACCCACAAGAATTTAGTGATTCCAGCCATGAAAGCCTTCGACAATACAGTTTACCAGCTGTTAGGATTTCTGGAAGTTGAAGGCCAAAACATCTGGGGACCCACATGTTGAGAACCACTGATGTAACGGCTTTCCTCTTACATTCGCTTACTAGATTATTAACAGTTTTTAAAAAAGCTATCTTTTACACACAAAATACGGTCCACCTTGTTGACATTTCCCCTCTGTGGTTCAGTAGTGATGACACTCTGCTGTTTTGGTTGATAAAACAGAATCATAGAGTTGGGTGAGACCACATGGGCCATGCAGGAAAAGCACAAATCAAAAAGGTGTGTGTGTTTAAAAATATACAATAGATGTATATTTGCCCCAGACTTCCCAAGTAATGGCATGCTTGTGTCTTTCAGCCTTGGAATTATTTGGGGAGGGAAAGGCTGCTGCTTGTAGTGACAACAGAATGAGCAAATTCCCATCCGTGGTGTCTGGGAATGCTCTGCCCCTCTTTCAGCTGTGGGCAAATGGACGACCCACATCCTGGCCGCCAAGAAAAGAGCCTGGATGATGGCCCCGGTTTGTTTGCAGCCTCTTTCCTTGACAGTTCTATGCAGTGCCTTCCCAGCGCCTATTGTTTCTTTGTGCAGAAACAGTTTATAGGCCAGTAGGTTGCTGGCGGCGTGCCCGCCCTCTCATTCTTTCTCTCTTTTTTTCTGGAGCTGTTGTGCAATCTGTAATCATCAGACCTGTTTTGACTGCCTGGCTTGATAAATATTCAGTGTTTACTGACCTATATTCCTGCTGCTTGCGCCCAATGGATGCTCGTAGATCACATGTGAAGGGAAAGGAAGGGGGGGGGGGAGCGTAACACCATCAAGGGGAGAGCGTGCTACTTTGTACACATGGCCCTGCTTTCTCGGGCGAGGAGAGCGTCAGCATTCCTATGTATGTGTCACAGTGGCACGGAGGAGGGGTTGGGCTTGCTTTCCTTATGCAAGCTTCCTTGCTCAGTGGCCTTATTCCTCAGTAGTCAAAAACGGGGCCAGGAGGACTTGCCCGTTCGTTGAATCCCTGGGTTTCAAGGTTAAGGTTTCCAGTCTGACTTTGGGCACCACAACGCTGTGACCACCACCATCCCTGCCTCCACACAGCAAAGCCCTACAGCCTGAGTGAGTCTGGGTGAGAGAAAAAGAAAAGGGATTAGTTGTTTGTGGGAGAGAAGAAAGAGCCATCCTGGGTTGAGAAGTATGTGATAGTATGCTGCTTGTGTTTATCTGTATGCATCTGTGGGTGAAGTGGAAGTGAAGAAGTGGAGCATCCTTCTCTCTGTGGACTTTTTAAATGGGGAGAGTGGGTACTGAAACATATACTTGAATATGTGACAAAAGGGACTGGAGTCCTCTTTTGTTAGAGGGGGAAAGTGTGGCTTGTATATGTGTCATATGGTACGTATATTGTGTCTTGTTAGGCATGCTCTAGCACCCTACAAAAGTTTGTATGTAGCCTTCCTTTCTTTACGTAGTGTGCTCCAGTTATTTGTATAATGGGACCCTTGTATAATCATATTGTATTGTGTGTCTGCATAACACAAAACTGGGTCATGTAAGTATGTTTTGATTACGAGGAGTTCAGGATGTGTCGAAGGCAGGCAACACTCATAAGTAGTGTTGACTTATGTGGGGCAAGGGGTGGTTACCTCACCTACTGTATGCAGCCACACACCTCTTTGAAAAGGGAACTGGTATGTGGGGTGTGGTCCACATATAACATGGGCTGTGGCAATGCTGTCTGAACCTGCTGGGTTATGTAAACGGAGCCTGGGGTGTATGACTGCACTGGGCAGAGAAGTAACACCCTCTTTTTGTGTCCTTCCTCCTTAGGGATATTTCTGATGCCTTCTGGGCCTGACACGGTGGTTGCCACTCACTCCCTTCACTTACCAGTGCACCTGCCACCCAGGAACAGCACGTCTCCCGCTTTCGGCAGGACTTCGACTACAAAAACTCCGAAGTTTGCTGGAAACTGAACCCCCTGGACACTGAGAAGGAACAAGCAGAATCATAAATCACTGGAGCCTCAGACTGAAGGAAGGAATCCAGTTCTTGTGGGTCTCCTAGAAGATGCTCTACTTGTTCTGGACAGTACCTTTCATACTAGTAGGAGCTCAGAGCCCATTTGACGGCTACAACCAGAGGACAGCTCAAGCCTGTACTGGGAGTAGCTCCCGCAGCAATACAGTTTGATCACTGCTTTGTGTGCAGAGCCGGGAAGAAGCATTTGTTCTGGTAGTGGCTGCAAACGGAGGTTGAAACTTGAACAAAACTTCTTTGATATTGAAGGGACATTGTTCCTGTGCACTCAGCAATAGCGATGGAGGATCTCAGCTCATCAACATTGTGTATGGCAGGGAATTTTCCTGGATTCCATCAAGATGGCATGATCCAGCGAGCCCGGACGCTGAAGGGCAAGCCCAATGCCAACTGCCGGCGAAAGCGAGAGTTCATCTCCGATGAGAAGAAGGATGCCTGCTATTGGGAGAAGCGCCGAAAGAACAACGAGGCCGCCAAGCGCTCCAGAGAGAAGCGCCGTTTTAATGATCTGGTGCTGGAGAACAGGGTGCTGGCACTCAACGAGGAGAATGTGCGCCTCAAAACAGAACTCCTACAACTCAAGCTCCGCTTTGGGCTCATCAGCACTTCAGCTTTTATGGAGAAGAGCCAGCAGCTGAGCACGGCCACTGCCAACTCCACCGCACACTTATATGAGAGCAATGAGAGCAGTGACTACTCCAGCTCCCTCTCCCGGGCCCATCACTCGGAGGACTCTTCCGAAACTGAGCAGTCAAGCCGGGACAGTGGCAGCGTGTCAGTCACCAAGTATTCACCCCGGGGCTCCCTATCGGACATGTCGGATGGCTCCTCCCGAGACAGCCCAGTGCCTCAAACGCTTGGTGAGGCCCAGGCCATCAGCCGAGCCTATGGGGAGGCTCCCTTGCCGCACAACCACTTGGAGACCAAGGGGCAAGTTCCTCGGGGGGTAATTCTCTTCAGTGCCAATGGCTTCACTGCAGTGGCACCACCCCGGCCTTTGTTTTCCGAACAGGAGGAGGAAGCAGAAAGCTGTGTTGTTGAACCCCCCAGAAGCCCCTGTCCAGAGCCCAAGGCTCATTACCAACAAGAAGAGACACCAGCCCACCCTGGGTATTGCTCAAAGTCCCAGAGTTATGGCACACCCACTGATTATGTGGAAGGAGAGCTTACCCAGACGGAGCACACGAGGAAAGCTCAGGATCCCCGGTCTCCCTATGAGGGCTACACCAGTGAGGAGAGTGGGGAGGAGCCCAGTTGGGTGTGTTCGCCTACATCTTTCCCAGTGCCCCTGGAGGCTCACCCAGATGTAAAGACGGCGGCATTGCCTCATAAGCTTCGACTCAAGTGCAGGGCACACAGCAGTGGTGTCCAAGAGCCCTGCCCTGCTCCCAGCACCACACCGACTGACTGCTGCCCGGAGGGCCCCATGGCACCTGAGTGGGACAGCGACCGGCATGAGGAAATGTCCGTTCTGGTGCGGCAAGCCTTGCTCCTCAACGATCAGTCCCCATCCTCAGCTGGAACTCTGGAAAGACTTCTGTGTCGCACCTCAGGGCTCCACTTGGACAATTCATTATCGAATGACCGCATCAGCAGGTGGGAGGATGGCTGTCATGATGATGACCCAAGGCCTACTTGACTCTGGGTGGGAAAGGATTTGGAAGGGGTTTCTCCTTTTTTTGTTTCTTAAAACTGACCAGGGGTTTTGTATAACTCTCCATGACGAGACCAGGCTCGAATTTGGGGAGAGGAGAGGATCTTGTTCTCTCCAAGCTCCAGCACTTCTGGAATAGAAGAGAGTCGGGAACCACAGAGTGGGAAGGGATCGTTGGTTGGTTGATCTCATGACGAGACAGACTGTGGAACTACTGAGTTCGAGAAGGCGGCAGGATCCCTGGGCTCTGGGATTCAGTGACATAGGTGGGGTCTCTCTCGTGGAGCCCAGTCCGTCATTGCAAGAGACAGTTCGGGTCGTGACCAGCAATGAACACTGAGAAGTGAGCGTCTGCTCCAAACCTTGCTGGCACTGAGGATCTTCAACAAACCCAAGTGGGTCGCTGGGGGGTTGGTGATGGACTACATGGTTTCTCTCTGTCTTGAACTGTTTGGTATGACAGAGATATTTGTGTTTTTGAATACTGAAATAAATGTACAAAATTCTTTAACAACACTTAGAGTTTACACAATTTTGTTTGGGTCTGGAAAAAAATGGATACAAAGGTTTACATTGGGGGTAGTGCCTCCTCTCTTTCCAGGGCAAACTGAAGCAGTAAAGGACGGGATCATTAAAATAATTGTATATCATGCAAAGTGCTGCAGCATGTAACAACAAAATATTGATGTATTGTCGAAAGCTTTCATGGCCGGAATCACTGGGTTGTTGTAAGTTTTTTCGGGCTATATGGCCATGGTCTAGAGGCATTCTCTCCTGACGTTTCGCCTGCATCTATGGCAAGCATCCTCAGAGGGAGTGAGGTCTGTTGCCTAGTTCCAACAGACCTCACTACCTCTGAGGATGTTTGCCATAGATGCAGGCGAAACGTCAGGAGAGAATGCCTCTAGACCATAGCCATATAGCCCCAAAAAACCTACAACAACCCAAAATATTGATATTTGAAGTGTCAGTCCTAAAAAAAAATGAAAACAATCCAAGCCAAGAACCTATTGTCCAGAGCCAGGTTGAATAAAAATGTTTTACTCTGGCTTTGAAAAGTTCAGGCAAAAGTTGGCAATTTTGGTACTGTAGTAGACAGAATTTCTTTATTGGCATGCCAATTTTCCACAAAGGCTCTTCTCCTTGAAGCTTTTAACTTCACTTCAGTAAGTCTATACCCCATGTGGAGAGCTTAGCGCCCATGCAAACTCACAAGGTTGGTATCCTAATCCTAAAATATATAGAGCAACTTTTAGTACAGTAACAAATTGGTCACCAGTGCAAATAATAATAATAATAATAATAATAATAATAATAATCTATATATATATAAATGCTCTGTGCATAATTAGTACCTTAAAAACAAAAGAACCAAAGAACGAAATCACACCAAATTTGGCAACAAAATGTCTCACAACACAAGGAGTGACCATCACTCAACATTTTATGATTTTGTCATTTGGGAGTTGTAGTTGCTGGGATTTATAGTTTACCTAAAATCAAAGAGCATTCTGAACTCCACCAACGATGGAATTGAACCAAACTTGGCACACAGARCTCCCATGACCAACAGAAAATACTGGGTTTGGTGGGCAGTGTCCTTTGGTTTTAGAGTTGTCGTTCACCTACATCCAGAGAGCACTGTGGACTTAAACAATGATGGATCTGGACCAAACTCTACACGAATACTCAATATGCCCAGATGTGAACACTGGTGGGGTTTGGGGAAAATAGAATTTGGACATWTGGGAGTTGRAGTTGCTGGGATTTATAGTTCACCTAAAATCACAGAGCATTCTGAACCCCACCAACGATAGAATTGGGCCAAACTTCCCACACAGAACCCCCATGTGGGCCACAGCAGCGCGTGGCAGGGTATGGCTAATAATAATAATWATWATWATTATTTATTTAATACCCCGCCACCATCTCCCCAATGGGGACTCYGGGTGGCTTACATGAGGCCAAGCCCAACAGCATATTACAATAAGGTAAAACCAAAACACAATAACAACACAGTAAAATACATACAACATATGAGTACAGAGATGATAAAGCAAAATCATACACAGTAAAATAAAATAACATAATAATGAGCGGGCCGCATGTGCAAGATAAAAACTAAGATACTAAAGATACTAAAATCAGGATGAGATAGGGATGGAGCAGATTGTTTGTGGGGGAGAAACTCGTAAAGGAACAGGGTCATAAATATTGTGCAAGTACGTGCGATTGTGCAATTACGTGCAATTGTGCAAGTACATGGCCCATGCATCTAGCATTACTTACTGGTTGCATGGGTTCCTATATAAGTTCAAGAAACAAAACTTCATGATCTGTAGGGGAACCTAGGAGGAACAAAATGTTGGTATCTTCAAGGTGCCTGTCAATCTCTAGTGATCTTATGGATCTTTATAGGGTTTTCTTAATCAAAGAATATTCAGAATTCTAAAATCAGTACAGTAAAAAAAGAACAACATGTAAAAATGGGAATTCCAGACAAGAAACAATAGGGGCAGCTAATCACCTCCCAACAAAGGATTACCCAGGCAGTAAGAAGCCAGACCTTGAAACTGTGAGGCCACTAAATTCTAAAATCAGGACAGTAAAGAAAGAACAACACGTAAAAACAGGAATTCCAGACAAGAAACAATAAGGGTGAGTTAATCACCTCCCAACAAAGGATTATCCAGGCAGTAAGAAGCCAGACCTTGAAACTATGAGGCTACTAAACGCCAGTCAAGGTGGCAGTTATATTACCTTCCCACACCACCCAGTATCTGTGGGGCATACATTCTAAAACCACTACAGGGTTATTTGAAACCGTGGATAATGAGCTCTGTATTTTGACTATACCATAGAATCGCAGTGGAGGAGACTAACAAATACTTTCAGTGGTGTGGCAGCGATATATATTGAGATGCAGGTAAGTGAAACTGTGGACATCGAATCCATGGATAAGGGGATCATATCATATAGCCTATAGCATCTGGTACTTGTTAGTAGTTTCCCATCAAAGTACTAGCCAGGGCTGCACCTGCTTAATGTCAATTTCTTTGCTCTCTTCCAGTAACAAGAAGTACCGTTTCCCAAATAAGATTTTCCACTATCAAAAAACAAAACAACAAAAAACCAGCATCTTATTAGTTCCCACCGATAAAACATAAACATACCCTCTTCTAATGAGCTATTAGCACCACAATAATTAAGTGTGACCCACCATTATCTAAGTTGTTGTTTGCCTTCAAGTCCTTTCCAACCTATGGTAACACTAAGGCTAACCTATTGTGGGGTTTTCTGGGGTTGAGAGTGTGTGTCTTTCCCAGGATCACGCAGTGGGTTTTGATGGCTGAGCAGGGATTTGAACCCTGGTCCTTTCAAAGTACAAGGAACCCCTTTGGCAGATCTCTCCACTTGTCCTTTTCTTCCTTTTTGCTGTTGGTAAACTACAATCCCAGAATTAAAAAAAAAATTAGTATTCAGTGTTGGCCATGTATGCAGTGTGATTCAGAGTGCTCTTTGATTGTAGGTTAACTATAAATCCCAGCAACTACAACTCCCAAATGTCAAGGTCTAGTTTCCCCAAACTCCACTAGTGTTCACATTTGGGCATATTGAGTATTTGTGCCAAGTTTGCTCCAGATCCATCATTGTCTGAGTCCACAATGCTCTCTGGAGGTAGGTGAACTACAACTCCAGAATTCAAGGTCAATGCCCACGAAACCCTTCCAGTATTTTCTCTTGGTCATGGGAGTTCTATGTGCAATTCCATCATTGGTGGAGTTCAGAATGCTCTTTGATTGTAGGTGAACTTTTAATCCCAGCGACTACAACTCTTTTGGCCTGCATCAATAGGAGCATAGTGTCTAGATCTAGGGAAGTAATGCTACCCCTCTATTCTGCTTTGGTTAGACCACACCTGGAATATTGTGTCCAATTCTGGGCACCACAATTCAAGAGAGATATTGACAAGCTGGAATGTGTCCAGAGGAGAGTGACTAAAATGATAAAAGGTCTGGAGAACAAGCCCTATGAGGAGCGGCTCAAGGAGCTGGGCATGTTTAGCCTGAAGAAGAGAAGGCTGAGAGGGGATATGATAGCCATGTATAAATATGTGAGAGGAAGCCACAGGGAGGAGGGAGCAAGCTTGTTTTCTGCTTCCTTGGAGACTAGGACGCGGAACAATGGCTTCAAACTACAAGAGAGGAGATTCCATCTGAACAAGAGGAAGAACTTCCTGACTGTGAGAGCCGTTCAGCAGTGGAACTCTCTGCCCCGGAGTGTGGTGGAGGCTCCTTCTTTGGAAGCTTTTAAACAGAGGCTGGATGGCCATCTGTCAGGGGTGATTTGAATGCAATATTCCTGCTTCTTGGCAGGGGGGTTAGACTGAATGGCCCATGAGGTCTCTTCCAACTCTTTGATTCTATGATTCTATATTGTGCCAAGTTTGGTCCATATCCATCATTGTTTGAGCCACAGTGCTCTCTGGATGTAGGTGAACTACAACTCCAGGTCAATGCCCACCAAACCCTTCCAATATTTTTTCTGTTCATGGGAGTTCTGTGGCCCAATTCCATCATTTGTGGAGTTCAGAATGCTCTTTGGTTGTAGGTGAACTATAAATCCCAGCAACTACAACTCCCAAATGTCAAGGTTTATTTTCCCCAAACTCCACCAGTGTTCACATTTGGGCATATTGTGTATTTGTGCCAAGTTTGGTCCAGATCCATCATTGTTTGAGTCCACAGTGCTCTCTAGATGTAAGTGAACTACAACTCCAGAACTCAAGGTCAATGTCCACCAAACCCTTCCAGTATTTTCTGTTCATCATGGGAGTTATGTGTGCAATGTCATCATTGGTGGAGTTCAGAATGCCCACTAAACCCTTCCAGTATTTTCTCTTGGTCATGGGAGTTCTGTGTGCAATGTCATCATTGATGGAGTTCAGAGTGCTCTTTGATTGTAGATGAACTATAAATCCCAGCAACTACAACTCCCAAATGTTAAGGTCTTTTCCCCCTAAGCTCCACCAGTGCTCACATTTGGGCATATTGAGTATTTGTGCCAAGTTTGCTCCAGATCCATCATTGTTTGAGTCCACAGTGCTCTCTGGAGGTAGGTGAACTACAACTCCAGAACTCAAGGTCAATGCCCACCAAACACTTTTAGTATTTTATGTTGGTCATTGAAGTTCTGTGTGCTCAGATTGGTTCAATTCCATCGTTGGTGAAGTTCAGAATGCACTTTGATTGTAGGTGAACTATAAATCCCAGCAACTACAACTCCCAAATGACAAAATCAGTCTCCCCCAACCCCACCAGTATTCAAATGTGGGCGTATCGGGTATTAGTGCCAAATTTGGTACAGTGAATGAAAATACATCCTGGGTTGTTGTAGGTTTTTTCGGGCTATATGGCCATGTTCTAGAGGCATTCTCTCCTGACGTTTCACCTGCATCTATGGCAAGCATCCTCAGAGGTAGTGATATACATCCTGCATATTAGATATTTACAATT